TGTCCCATGCTTGATGGCCGAGTGCAAACCTCTGGCACCAAAATTGGGAGGTACAAGGACATATACCCGCGCAGAAGTGGTACAATTACACATCGCCGGAGAGTGTATGATAAAGCTGGATATAGTAAATTGTATGCCTTCCCGAATATACCTTGTAACTTCTCTCTCTACAGAGTCCTGGTCGGTGCTTTAAAGTAAGGCTTTTCTCATTCGTAGTAATTATCTAGATATCGCTCTTTTTTAAACCAATGAGATCGCCCTCCCATACTGAGATAGTCATAATCATCTGCATGCACGCAACGGGCACACACGATATCCAAATGGACTCATCACTATATAAAAAATTAACAAGGTGTATACGCTATGATTGTAGACAAACATTTCAAAGTTTATTGCTCTTTTTATCGAAAAAACTTAAGACCATACGTCAAAATCGATGGACACAACCTCTAGCGGATCTGTACTGTCTCCTTTCCAGATGAATGATTAAGATCTAAAAGCTTTTCACTTACGACACATAAGCACAACTTATCAAGTCTGCTAGCTTAGAAACAAAAGTCAAGTAGATCGAAGAACAACGCATCTTATAGCTCACTAGACCACAGCGTTGCCGTCAAGTTCAAGGAAATTCTTGATTCAAAGCATCGACAGCACAAAGTGCTCACGATTACACGCCTGGAACTACTTTTTATAAATCCTAACGGCCTAAGACGCCCTAATAGGGCACGTGTCTCCAACCGATTAAAATGCGAGTTGGTGTTTATTTGATTTTAACACGATATTAAAAGCCTGTATTAGTACCTAAATGTAATCTTTTTACGTTAGTAGCAAGTAGAACATACAAAGAAGCTCATAAGTGACTGAAACGTCTCATGTAACGGACTACCCCGTTACATAATATTACCATTATAAGAAATGGTAAAAAAGAATATTATGTTGTATATATTTTTTTAAATATCACTGAATACAGTGATAATGCTGAGATGACCCAAGGGTCTACTCATTGGTTGATGTTGTGGAAATATAATACCCACCGATCGCTGCTAGACGCGCGAAATGGGTGGTGGGTAGACGTCATCATACGTTTAGTCATATTAATTTATAATGAAATCAGGACAAATCAGACAAGAGATATTGGACTTAATCATACTAAATAACAGCTTCACATTTGCTACGAACAAAGTCTTTATCTCTGTCGTTCACCCATCCTCTGTGTAGTGTATAGAGGTAACAGGGCAACGACCTTCAGTGTTTTCAGTGATAGTTGTCTCCGTACTAGTAGTCCAGTACGTAGCTGCTGGTGCCCCGTTCCATCTCAGCCCCCGGTAAACGTAAAAACCACTGCAGTTATTTACATAAGTGGTACACCACAGGTTAACGTACTCATATCGTGGAGTTGTAATATCAACGCGTTCCAAAGTCACGCACCCACTACATAAATCGAGGTTAATTAAAAATAATTACGTTTTTGAACGAGCTAGAGAAGGTTATTCATTAATTCGTTGCGTCGGTCGCAATTCGTCTTTCTTGTTGTTGCACAGTCAAGAATAGCCGTCATTTTTCTATGATCATATCGCTTGCCTTAGCACATCGACATTACCAACGCGTGAATTCGTCACACACTAAACACGGCAACACTGCACACGACCCATATCCAGCCGCAAATTACCATTACCAATTTCGTGTACGTTAATATTGGAGCTTTAATACATTCAATGGACTTATAATAAAGGTCGAGCTTCTGAGCGTGCTTCCCTGTCTTGTTAAGATTCGCTATGTCTTGAGGGTCATTTACGATCGAAAGAGAGGATTATTATAACTGCAGGGGCCGACCTCGAGATGTGGGATTACGATTTATCCATGAAATTTTGGTTTAGCCAGGTTTCTTTACTTCAGTTTTGCTATTGTACTGTTGGATAAAGGTGTACACAGATTCATCCCAGGTTTTTTGTATTCGATTATTTCACGCGTCAGCGTTTGGATTACAGCAAATCACCACCAGTTGATGCTCTGCGTCCGTTCAAACTAGTGACGCACCGCCTGTAACGGGGCACGCTCGTACCAGATGACTGATAAGAACTTGCGTTGATCGAATATAAGGCTGCGTACTCCCGACGTCACGTACGCGTGGCGTGAGGAAGAGCGAAGAATTAAACAGAACTCGGAAGCTCTGTTTCAGGAAATAAGTGGAGCTGTATTTAATATAGTTAAGTTTCTTTAATCAACCATTTTTGTCTTAATCCGACTGTATAAAACTACAATCTCCTATGTGGGTCTCTTGTTTACCACCCATTGCGCGCGTCCAGCAGCGATTGGTGGTTAATTTGGTTGATGTAGCATCTACATCGACAAAAAGTGAAGCATTCAAGAATATTACCCTCGGGGGTAACATTCCGCCAACATTATCTCTTCTCGAGTGATGTTGATTGAATATTATCTACATCGATAATGTTCAGAAATTGATACATTTGTATCAATTTTATGTAACAGGCTCACCCCTTTACATCGCCGATAAGCTGCCGAGTCGTTTTCAACCAAAACTTTACCCCCACACGAATCAAGCATTTTGATATGCTATAAGTTTCAGCGAGAATAATTCAATTCTGTCTAACTCGCATGATAGACAACCTCGGTCAGTCCAAGCTCTTGTGCGGCGATAAATTGCACCCTTGACCAACTCTTCTCTACACACGTTGCCTCCATTTCCACAATACTACTGCCTTTATATAGCGTAGTCCGCAACATCACATAGATCTCGTGATCTCTCGATAAAGGCCCCGTAGTTACTCACAGACGTTTATAAGTTTGTCTAGCACGAGATGGATGTGCTCATGATGGTTCATCGAACGTCACCGTGGCCACATCTACTTTTATTACCACCGCTGAAAATCTTGTATGAAGTCGTCACGTCCGTTATTTTAGTGCGACGATGGACGGCTAAGAACCTCTCGGTCATGCCTGTCTAGAATCTACGAGTAGCGTGTGACTATCACTTTCCTTCCTCGCCGCAGTGATAGCATACCTCGTTCATTCTTTCTGTATCGAAAGCCTTCTCGCTTACATTGGCGCTCAACCAGGTTCGAGTATCTAAGTACCTTCAACCTGCTTTGTGTGCATGCAGAAGCCGAAAGATCACGATCTCCTGCGTCACGTGTCGAAGTGATTGCAATATTTGGGTGCGTAGCTAGTATGATGCACCACTATTTTCTAGAAGCGCAATGATGCAACATCTTTTGCAAACATAGCACCGACAACGCCAAGCTTCTTAGACAGTGCCTGCTGAACATAGACTAAAGCACAGCGATGTGTTGACTATGATCCTTTTGGTTCTCATGTACTACGTGTTGCCTTTTCGTATTCTTCACCAGCTATCTGCTCTCAATAAACAAGTAGCGAACAGATACCTATGTGGCGCCATGAGCAGATGACATACTTCTGGTAATCGATATCACAAGCTCACGCTAAAACGTACCCCGAGGTGACACGAGCTTTCCTCACGAATCAGCGGCACACCGAGCTTCTAACGTCCAAACATACCTGTCTCGTCTAGGGGCACTTGCGGCGCACCTGGTTATCAGTGGCCTAAACTTGTTCATGTACGTCATCGCGTCGTCTTTATCGCACGTCATTGTCGTCATGAATTACGCGTTCTTCGTGTACAGTGGGTTTTGGTCGGATTTTCTTGTTGACGTATCGATTGCGCACGCGCTACGCTGGATTGGCAACAGCAAGCCCGCTCTTACGACAGTTGTTAGACAGCTTTTGAGTGACCTCTTCTGGTAGAGCCGTAAATCAGGATATCGTTCGATCTTTACTTCCTCACGAGATGACATCGAGCAGAAATAAAAAAATGCTTGCTCAGTTCTCGGTGACGTGGACATCAACAAAGCGATCGTTAAACAACAAGAGTCGTTTAGCACTGATCATGTGTGCTCGTACCGACCCGATCTTTCACCAGCCGACCGTCCATCTCATCAATGCATCCGAGAGACTTTACAACAACGTCGATTAACTGTTTCTCATGCGTATGACTGTTACAGCTTACATGTCCTGATGGGTTACAGCTGCGGTCACACATTGATTCGCGATGCCGGGCGTTTCGGGCGCTGCTAAATGATTCTATAGCAAGTCGCGAATCGAATGTCATAGAAGTTTGTGCTTCAACGTCGAGAACCCAATCGAGATATTGCTATGTATGAGCTGTGTCTGCGCGCGATACATATGGTCACGGGTTGGTACTGCAATCAGTATTCCAGTATCTTGCACTTTGTATCGGTGGGTACACTTCAGCAAGGAACAGGACGAGTGTCGCCTTCCTCATCAATATCGAAATCGTCTGTTGATAAAGCACTTTATAAAAACCGGTCTTTGGCGCGACGTGTTAGGATATGTATTTTTCAGTCCGCCCGTTGTAAAAAGCTGTCCTAGTGGTACCTCGTTCGACCCATCTCCACCCCTTTCCAAAACCTCAAAACCTCATCCGCACATGCTTTTTGTAAGTCTCTCTCTCAAGTCAACGTCTTGCGTCCTGACAACGCCCGCTTGAGTATCCACATACAAATGCCAAGTCTACTCTAGACTCCCACCGAGACAAACAGCGCACACAGTAGTGGAGACGAAGGCGGCATCGAGACAAGGCGTCGTCTCGGGCGTCTCGAGCGTGTCTGCGACCGTCTACAGCATTGGAAAGCGCCTCGTCGTGACCGTCGTCCAGAGGGGATTCTCCTGGCGTCCGCGTGGCCACAGTAGAAGCCGTGCGAGACCCGCGACAGTGGGAACAAGTGCGTTCATCGAAGTGCGTGAACGCAGCAACTTGTCGGCGGTTCGAGCTGCCGAACGCGCTGCCAGAAGAAGCGCGAGCGCCTCGAGCGTCGGATACGTTGCTGCAGCGTCGCTGAAGCGCTCTTGGAGCTGCACGACGCGCTGTTGAAGCCCTTGACAAGGCCCCAAAGCAGTCGCTCGCTCCTAGTTTAGGCGCTTAGCTCGGGCACTTGTCCCTCATGGAGGACAGTGACGTGTACGTGCGAGAAGAGGGCGACCGGCCCATGGAGCACTCGCCCCGCGGCCGTTACATCCGCTTTGACATTCGGCTTGGCACGGGCGCCTACAAGTCGGTCTACAAGGCGTACGACACGGACCAGGGCATTGACGTGGCGTGGAACGCCATTGACATTGGCCTTTTGCCGAGCACCGAGAAGACGCGGATCATCCAGGAGGTCCAGTTGCTGCAGAAACTCGAGCACAAGAACATTATCAACTTTTACGGGAGCTGGTTCTGCAAGGAGAAGAACCAGGTGGTGTTTATTACCGAGATCATGACGTCAGGGACGTTAAAGTCGTACATTAAACGCGTCCAATTCATCAAGTGGAAGATTATCAAGCGCTGGTGCATCCAAATCCTTGAGGGACTTCACTACTTGCACAGTCAGAATCCGCCTGTGATTCATCGGGACTTGAAGTGCGACAATATCTTTGTAAATGGCAACACGGGCGACCTCCGGATTGGGGATTTGGGACTGTCGACCCAGCTGGCAGTGGACAAGCGGTCCAAGGCACAGAGTGTGCTAGGCACACCCGAGTTCATGGCGCCAGAGCTGTACGACGAAAGCTACGACGAAAAAGTGGACATTTACGCGTTTGGAATGTGCGTGCTTGAGATGGTGACCAAGGAGGTGCCGTATTCGGAATGCATTAATCCGGCGCAGATCTACAAAAAAGTCACTGCTGGCATCCGTCCAAAGGGCCTGCAGCGTGTTGTGAGTCAAGCTGCGCGTGATTTTATTGAGTTATGTCTGTCGCGCGGGAACGGACTGGTGGACGTCACGGCTCAGTATCTGTTGGATCACCCGTTTTTGAAAGCGCAAGATGATGATAATGATATGGTCGAGTGCCTGGATGAAGACAAAATCGAGCGTGGAGCAAAAGAAGCACAGCAGCGGTTGGAGAGGGTTGCTGAAGAGTCTTTCGCGGTTGAGTTCAATATGGAAGGTGGATCCAGGGACGGTGGCGCTGTCGCGGTCTGCGGGCGGCGCATACAGTGCTCGTCGCTTTCATTCGAGCTTGACGGAACGTCGGTAGTGTCTTCCGTGAGCAGTAGTGCTTCTGCTTCCGGAAGCTTCGGAAATGCATCAGTGCCTTTTGCGAACATTTCTGCTGATGCTAAGACTGCCGGCCCGAACCGACTGATGGAAGTGCCAATAGTCGGAACGTCTGCGCGTGACGGGAACACTGCAACGCCTTCCCCGTCCATCGAGATGGCTTCACAATCATCGTTAGGATCCGTGCCAGCGCTACAACCGACAGCTTTGATGCCAGCATCATTGCAAGCGCAATCACCAGCACGAATACGAACGCCCACTCGTACACCGGAAGAATCTCCCAAGTTGACATACTCACTCTCTCAGTCTTTTACCAATGAGATGGTTAGCGCCGATGAGCCATTATCGAAGGGCAAGGAGAGCGTCGACACGCATGTAGATCAATTTCTTGCGACATTGCCTGGCACGGAGAGTGCGATCCAGAACACACGGATAAACATCATGGGGGGTAGGGGCCACCGGCTTGATTTGGAAAACGACATCATGCCAATATACGCCGAGAGCCCTGTGGAATCGCCGTTGTCCAGTGGCATCGAAACACCAGAGCACTTGCAATCATTTGCAGGAGAATATTCGGCAGTGTATCTAGACGCTGTCAAGGCCGAGGAGGTCAACTCGGGTTCCGGGCTACTGATGCCGCTTCAGTCACCCGAAGACCAGATTCCTTCGATACAGCTGCCGGAACGTGACCTGGAGCCTCAGTTTGGTCTAACCCGCCGCGCGAGTATTCATGATCCGCTCAATACAGCTTCAGAAGCCGTATCCCGGCAGCCGGCATCTTCGTCCCCACCTGAATTGACGTCTTTACCGGCTGCAAGTGGTACGAACGCACGAAAGCGCGCAAAGCGACATGAGATCAAGGCTGTGAAAGACCCGGACAATGAGCACAGTATCCTGCTGAATTTACGCATCATCATTGACGGCAAATCAAAGGAAATCAAGTTTCCATTTAATTTGTTTGCTGATAGCCCTCACGAAGTTGCGTGCGAATTGGCCGTGGACGTGGGCATATTGGAACCGGACCTTGAAGACATTGCTGACTCGATTCGTTTTCTCGTTACGGAGGGCAAAATCAACAACCTCTCGGACGTGCAAGAAGACGTATGGGAAGAAGCGCCCGAGCCCCATTCATTCTCTTCGATTCCGTTTCCGAACGTGTCAAAGATGTCTTTCGCGCAAATGCCACCTGAGGCGACGACGCTTCAGCAGCAACAAGCGTATTCGACAGGTACGACGTCATCGGAATGTACGCCGACTGCTTCAAGTGTGCCTTCTACAGGAGTACCGGCTTCTATGCGTCAAAGCGTGTTGGGCACCAGTGGTACCACAAGTGCTACACTATCTGGCGTCCAAGCGTCCTCGGAGGGAGAAGTGTCTGGGTCACAAGAATTGGTACATGGTGCGAGTATGAGCGATCACCCTTCCACGTTGATGGTGCCGGATGGGAGCGTATCGTCTAGAAGCAGTAGTGGGAGTCATCCTGCGCAACTTTCTGGCAACGAACTGGGCCGATCGCCGCCGCGGCCTGGCCTGTCGCACAGCGCTAGTGAGTCCGGGTTTACAAATGAAGCTTTGATTAGCATTTTGGAGAAGCAAGCTCGTGGCGTCTCGATGGGTTCGATCGTCGATCCGACGTATGCACAGCAAATTCACCAGCTGGAAGATCGCTTGAAAATTGCTCGCTCTTCGTTCGATGAACGAGAGTCCTCGCTGGAGGCCGCAATTCGTAATGAAGAGGAGAAGCATCAGCGCGAAATTGAGCGTTTTCGAAAGAAAATGGAGGAGTTTGACAAACAGCGTGCTGCCATCGCTCGACAGCACAATGGAGAAGGTGTCGTGGGTTACGACGTAAATGGATCGCCACCTACATTGAACGAAAGTCTGGGGCTGCTTGCCCAAGGTGAGTCCTTGGCAATGCCCAGTGATCGGAGCTCTTCCGCAGTGCGGGCGGAATATGACGGTTATGCGAGTGTTCCAGCTGACGAGTCTGACACGGAGACTCGTTCATTACCTCCCGCTTCAACATCAGTGCCTGCATCTATCCCAAGTGGGGCAGTACTGGAAGCGGACCCAAGCACTGAATCCGCAGCCCTCCCAGCGTCGGTGCCAGTAGACGAGCTGATTCCAGAAAGCTACTTTACAATCTGCAGCTCTGGTGGCAAAACAGGAACTGATTCAACAACTGCAACAGCAAGCCAGTTAGCGTCAGGGCATTTGTAGTAGAGAACCTGGCGGCTAGTGCTGGTGCGTCATGGCCACAACATCATTGAGCGTTTGCTCTACGACTCGGTTTAGGCGTGAAGAAGTTGTCGCGAAGTGCTAGCTGCGAGCTTGCTAGACCCCGTAGCGGAGGGAGTGGGAAGGTGAAACACGAACGAGGGGTTTGTCTTGTTATTTTGATAGGAGAGGGAGCTTGGCGGATGTGAAAATATGAATTGACAACACTACTCGGACACGTTGCAAGCGTTGATCGTCTTGCCTGAATGAGGGCCCTGAAGAGCTTGGTACAACGGCGACACATCTTGTAGCGATCTGTCGCGAGACTAGCCACCAGTCCTTGCCAGCCGTTGTTTTGGTTGCATAGTTGAAGCGTGCAAGTTGGTAACACTGGACCTGACTCTCACATTTGTTGCCTCGTGCTTCTCTGTGACTTGCACACAGATCGTACGGTCAACACGATGGTACAGATCGATCGTGGGACTTGAGGCAGTTGCTGCGCATCCGCACAGAAGTTTATGACAAGCCCTCGATCGGTCTGTGCTAACTTTGCTTTGCGACTTACCAATGAAATTCACAGCGTACCGCTGAGCTCGCGCTAAGAATTGGTACGACAAGACGCGAGTACTGAATTCGAGAAGGGACGAACCCTTTGGACTTACTGACGGGTGTAAATGGGATGAACCAGCAGCAATGTTTGCACTGCTGTAGCACACCCATTGTTGTCGCAGCAACCATTCGTAACATTTCTCACATGTCGCCCACGCGTGACCTAGCAGCGTAATAAAAGAACAGCACGAGCCCGTGCTTGTTGTCGCGCAGCATTCGTCTAGTTTCGGAGCTGCTGCATGTACATGGGAAGAGTAGCAACTGTTTCGTGGGTGTTCACTCGGAGCGGAGACCACTCATCCTGCGAGGCTTTCCACCTATACTGCAGTCTGTAGTCGAAAACTTGCCTTGTAGCAGTGGCATTTGTGATCGGCACCTAAGAACCGAGAGGACAGAAAGGTGCGCTCATTGTGGCTCGTGGATGGTTGCGTCAAGATACGTGTGTGCTTCAGTTCGTATCTTTGTAGCACGTACAAACTACCGGCAACAAACCTACACGACCGGGTAAAACTTGCGTATCCACATATCGAAGGGCAAGGCATTTGCACACGTGAACGACCTGCATTTTATCATGTCGATATGCATCGTTGAGGCACTACACTGCCTGCAATCATTCTTGAGCTGTTATGCAACATCGTGCTGGCACCAACGGCACCACCTCGCGGACTTCTGCAAGATCTCGATGTATGTTGCGAGACCATCAAACAAAGCAGTGCTCTGGATCGCCCGTTTCCAGTACCACAGTCGATGGCGGTAGACCGCTTTCGTAGATCACATGCGTCCTTGTCTCGCGCTCGTCGTTGGTGTAGCGTCAATCTGATTGAGCTGCGGCAACAGCTCTTCTAGCTTCTTTCGGTACTCAAAGTCTTGAGCGAGCGGGTTACGTTCGAGGTACAGCGTACGCAGCGCTGCCAGCGGGGCCAGGTTCTCCACATCCGCATACTGCGCAATCTGATTGTCGTTCAGCCATAGATCTTCTAGCTGCGAGAGCGGCGCCAGATTCGTCGGAATGCTGGTGATGCGGTTTCCAGCGAGATCCATTGTCGTCAACTTAGTCTGTTGACAAGGCAGCACATACAAACGACCGTCAGCGTGAGGTGTATGGCGTCAGCTTCAGCTTGACCAACAAGCCGCTTATCCAACGAGCCGTACCAAGTGCTCGACGTTTTCAATCTTCTCAAGACCATTGTGGCTCAGATACAACTCCTCCAGATCTGCATTGTTTTCAAATCCCGTGATTGCTACCACGCGGTTGCTCTGCACACTCGTGATCCGCAACTTCGCCAGCTTCTCCAGTCCCTTGATCGTCGTGATCTTGTTCTTACCGAGCCACAACTCCTCCAGGTTGGCAAGTCCATCCAGCCCTTCAATCGCTCGCAGTCGATTAGCGCCAAGATCCAGTTTCTTCAACTTGCCAAGACGCGCTAGGCCCGAGATCCTTGTCAACTTGTTGTTGGCTACATAGAGCTCTTCCAGTTGCTGCAAGTGCCCCAAGTCTGGAATCGAGCGGATCTCGTTGAACGACAGATCCAGCACCTTCAAGTTCACAAGCGCCTGCACGCCGTCAATGACCTGAATCTGATTGTCGTAGAGCTCCAAGTGCTCCAGCTGCACCAGCGACGCCACGCTCGCCATTGAGCGCAGCAGATTGGACCGCACGTGCAACTTCCTCAGCGTCTGCAGCATCTCGACAGCGTCCAGCTCCGTGACCTTCACGCCTGCTGTGCCCACGTAGTAGAGCTCGTGGTCTTGAATGTCAGTGTAATCCACACAGCTCGAGAGCGTCGTCGGTCGCTCGGACGGCTCGTGCTCGTCCTCTCCTTCTCCTCCGTCTTCGCGGCTGTCTGGTCCCTTGTTCGCGTCTGCATCGTCTGTTCGCTGCCGTGCGCGCGCGTCGACGGCCGCCTGTAGCGCGTCCGTGTTGACGCTCTTGTTCTTCATGACGTCCATGAGGCTGTTGTTCGGAGCCGCGGGTGTGTATACACCCCACTTGCGGCGATGGGGCTTGTATTAAAAGCATACGTTTTGTGCGCGTTTGAACATGCGTATACCTGCGTACGATACGTTTTTCAGCACGAATCGACGTTTTTAGTGACGCGCAAACCGAACATTTCGTCGACGACACAAAATTCATTGCGATTGTTTTCTCGATTCCAAGAGCTGTATAGGTCATTGCAGAGCGCAGCTCAGAGCATGGAGGGAATGCTCAACTACTTTGTGCCGGAGGACGGCGACACCTCCGACCACCTCAATGTCGTGCCGCTTCCGCGCGTGGACCAGCTGCAGCTGCAGCATGTGAAGAGCGTAGGCGTGATTGCAGTGCTTTATGGACTTCGGCGCGGGTCTGGTTGGCCGATTGCTCTTACGGTGTGTGTTTTGTACAGAGCTTCCCACTGCCGGGCGAGTTCCACTTTCGTTTCAAAATGGCGTTTGAGGGAACATACGGTGCGGTATAAGAGCAATGCGGTGTAGACAGTTGGCGAGCGAAGGGACGAATTAAGTCGAGTTTTGTATTTCCTTGACGTCGAGCAGTGTGGCTGGACGTGGTGAACGACACGGACGCCGTGCCGGATTTCAATGGACTCGTCATTTGCAAGATCTCGCGCGTTCAGACAGAGAGCAATGTGTGTGATGTCGAGCAGAAGGACGTGGTGAAGGCCCAGGTGGAAGCGTCCGACCTCATTGAGACGCTGGAAGTCCCGCTGTCGCCCAGTGCGTCGTCAATGCAGGACGTCATGTCGTCATTGTCATTCCTAATGCCTCCTCTATGCTGTGTGTTTTGTAATGCACTACGCAGCCAAGCGAGAAGAGCCTCAAAGGGCACAGAAGACGTTCAACAACGACCTGGTGGGGCTGGTGGGTACACGGTTGTCGGAGAAATGCTGCCGAAGTTATCAACTCACCTGCGTGATTATGTTGTCAAGATGTCGGACCCTGTGCCTCCGTCGACGTCGCAGACTGTGGCAGCCCAGTCGCCTGTTCTTTCGGTACTGTTTTGAAGCTGCACTTGTAGCCGATGGATGCTGCGTTTGTATGCGAAGTAACGGTTCTCGTGTGTCCTGTTGAAGCAGGCTGGTGCCGCTCCTCCTCCGACCGTGCGCGACCCGTTTGATGTCTTTGCAGGCCACAACACAGCTCCCATGCGTCCCACGCCTATCTCGGCGACAATGGCAAGCAACGGACCCCGAGGGTTGTCGCCAAAGACGACGGGAACTCATAGCGGAGCGTACGTAGCTCAAGGCGGGTTCAATGCTATAAGCGCTGGAGCTCCGCCGTTGATGACGCCTCAAGTTCCAAGCAGCTTGAACATTAGTCAGATGCACATGGGCATGGGTCAGCCGCAGGGAGGGATGCAGCAGCAGAATAGCTTCCAGGGTCTGCAATGGCAGGGTATGGGACAGCAGCAGCAGCAGCAGCAGCCACAGCGACAACGGAACCCCAACAGTAGACAATGGTGATCCGGCATTCTGGATGAGCGCGTGTCGCGTTAGCAAGAGCAAAGAGTGACCCTCCAAGTGTCCACTGCAACAAGTAGATTGACAAGTACGTTTTTGCACGCCGGATTGCTGCTTATGGACGGTATCTATTCAAACAGCTGGCGGCCACCCTGAACACCTCTTTGGATCGCAAGCGGCATGTCTACCCGCCGATCCATGCACGAAATCTCGAAACCCACTTTGCCAACAGTCTCCTCGCTGCTGGATCCATCACCTCCGACTTCCTTCGCTTTGTCATGTCAGTGGAGCCATCTCGCTACGGCCCGGACTTCCACTGCGTCACCGTATCGCGAGATGTATTCGAAGTCCGCTCGCACTATGTGAATTTGCGTCCTGTGGGTGGCGGTTCCTACGGCATTGTCTGCTCTGCGGAAGATACGGTCTCTACCACCAGCACACTCCCTCCTTGTTTGCGAAAGCACAGAGTCTCACTCGCTAACACACGTGTGCAATTGTTGCGATGATCATGCAGCAACGAGGCCGCAAAGTAGCCATCAAGAAGATCACTGACGTGTTCGACGACCTCACGGATGCCAAACGGATCTTGCGCGAGATGAAGCTGCTCCGACACCTTGGCGTGCACGAAAACATCATCAACGTAGGGCATCTACTAGTCACTAGCTGAACGCAATTACCTGAGCTGCTCGCACTAACGGAAGGAAGGTACTTGTCGATGATACTGTGGCAGATTCTCGACGTGATTCTAGTGCCGCCCAATGTCATGGACTTCCACGACATTTATATCGTCACGGACCTCATGGAGAGCGACTTGGAGCGCATCATTAGCTCGTCTCAGCCGCTCTCGGATGCCCATTTCCAGTACTTTTTGTACCAGATTTTGCGTGGCATGAAGTTTGTGCATTCGGGTAACGTGCTGCACCGCGACCTCAAGCCGTCCAATCTGCTCGTGAACTCGAATTGCGACCTGTCCATTTGTGACTTTGGCCTGGCGCGGGGAGTGGAGACTGCGCAGAACGAAGACCTGACCGAGTATGTCGTCACGCGCTGGTACCGTGCACCCGAGTTGCTGACAGACTGTCAAAACTACAACGACGCAGTAGACGTCTGGGCTATAGGATGCATTTTTGCCGAGATGCTGCGGCGTCGACCGTTCTTTACCGGACGAGATCCATCCGACCAACTGCACACAATCATTCGTGTGCTAGGGTCTCCGACTGAAGAGGAAATGGCCTTCGTGCCGCACGAAGCCGCGAAGCGAGCCATCTTGCAGAACGGATTCTATCCAAAGGTACGTACGTGGCTCGGGTCCGTACACTCCCGTCTCAATGCCAATGCAGTTGCAGCAGAGTCGTCTAGTACTCGACTGACATGTGTTGACGTGTATGTACAACGCTAGCGGCCGTTGATGGAGTTTTTCCCCGATGCCAACCCCTTGGCGGTCGACTTGCTCTCGCGAATGCTCAAGTTCAATCCAGCCGAGCGCATTCCCGTCATGCAGGCATTGACCCATCCGTACCTCGCACAACTTCAGAATCCCGTACGAGTGTTGACAAGTGCTTGTTTCACGGGACGCAGCCCGACCGTAATGGTCTTTGCTTGGTCGACTAACGGGCACTGCTGTCGTCATGTTTTGCAGGCCGACGAGCCCGTGTGTGTCGAGGCTTTTAACTTCGACTTCGAGCGCGCGTCGCTGGAGTTGGGCGTGGAAATGCCCAAGGAAGAGCTGCAACGTCTGGTCTTCCAGGAATGCATGTCGATCCATCCGATAGAAGCGCATCGAATGCAGTAAGAGCGGCGGTTGGCTCCAGTTTCGTGCATTTGCACTACCGCATGCGTGCAAGTAACGGACGCGACGAGTCGATCACGACCACTGTATTCCCATCGCTCCCATTGAGCAACCGCCTCCTCATGCAGCTTTCAGGTATACATAACAACCGCATGTATGTGCATATTCGCGAACGAGCTATCCCCTGTCTTTTCTACCGTGGTACGTTACGGCGACGGTCTCCTGTCGTCGTGGGGATCTACCGATCGGTTGATCGGTCGATCTGGTCACGCACACTCGGACCTTTTGCTGCTGGTTGTGATGCCTCGTATGCGCTCCAACTCTGCGCCTCTTCAACGAAAAGCAAACGAGACCGCGACACCAAAAATCAAACGGGACTTGCAGCGACCGCCCGGGACCGCGACAGCAACAAACGGGACTTGCAACGACCGGCCGTCACTGTCATCTTCAACCACCAGTGTGAACAGGCAGCTCGATAATATCAGTGCGGAACGGGACCACGTCGCACGCACTTCCCACAACCGCTTATTGCACAGTCTGTTGGCGAGACGGAAGTTTGTCGAATTGGACCTGTCGAGTGCAAAGCTGATAATGCACACCCAGACGATATGTGGGATGGAAAGGCATACAAGACGGTAGTATACTAATTTGCCATCTTCCGACGTGTGTGTCCCAGAGGTCTCTCGGCCCCGATAGGCGAAATCTCAGGTACTCACTCCCTTACTCCACCAATACGTGGTCATAGAATACCGCCCGACAGGCGAAGCGCTATCGAACACCGGAATCGACCGCAATGCTCTCGCCGCCAAAAAAGCAGCTGCGTCGGCTCGTGAAAAGAGACTTACGACCAACGAGCAGGTCGCCCTGTCACATAGCTACCACAACAACAGCTTGCAACGCTGTTTTGAGGCGATACGGGGGACCTACTGCCTAGACCTACTACACTATGTACACGGGGCGCGCCTGGGAGAGCGAGCACTCCCCCCCTCCCCACCCACTTCCTACCAGATGAACGCGGAGCTCACTGAGAACGCCACTAACTCGAGCCTGACGTCGCGTAGAGCGAGTTGGCGTGCGATCGACAGAGGCCCTTCTTCTTGACGTGTTTCGTGCAGTCGGCCACGCGGCACTTGCGTTTGCCGCCGTGGGCCGTGCACAGATCCTGCCGCACGACGCCCTTCTGACAGCCCTTGACGCTGCAGCGCCGACCGCCGCCGTGTCGGATGCACAGGCCCATGCTGCGCTGGATGTTCGAGCACCCCGCAGCGCGACAGATGCGGCCGCCGCCGTGGGCGACGCAGAGCCCTTTGCTCTGGGCCCCCCGCGTGCAGTCTTTGCGCTGACACCGTCGGCCTCCGCCGTGGCTGATGCACAGACCGCGGGTCACGGCGTTGCTCGCACACTGCGGGAAGGCGCAGAGCTTCTTCTCGCGCTTCGCTTCGTACGGCGCCACGGCGTCCGACCGCGGGGAGTCCGAGATGCGCATCGAGCGACCGGCTTGTTCGAGTTGGTGCATCGAGTCGGCCGAGTCGGCCAGTGAACTCAGCGAGCCCACGCGCGGCCGGTCGAGCCACTGCGTCAAGTCAATGGACTCGGCCGCCGTGCGCTTCAAGTGGCGCACCAGCGTGGGCGCGTCCATGGAGCTGCTGCGCTCGAGGCGGAGGCGGTGGAACCCGTCGTCATCGGGCGACGACGGGCGCTGTCCACGCCGCGCGTCGGTCCCATTGGCGACGGCCGCCGCTTGGGCTTCGATCGCTAGTCGCCAGCTGTGCTCGACACCGACCCGAGGGGACGGCAGGCGCTGCGTCGGCGGCGTCAGGGAACTGCTGGAGCTCGGGGCAGCGGCCGCCGTCGTCGCCGCCGCGTTGTGCGCGTTCGTGTCGGACGGACACGACGACGCGCGCACGTACCGGAAGGGCTGACAGAGGTCGGCGATCGACATGGCGCTATGGGGCGCCGCCGTCTCGTGGGTGTGCTGTCGCTTGAGCGGCGGGATGGGCGACACGCACGTCTCGGAGAAGCTGTCGGACCGGTGGGGGCCGAGCGACGTGCCGCTGCTGGCGCCTCCGCTCGGCCGGAGCGCCGGCAGACTCGCGCGTCCGCCGTCCGTCGGCGTCGGGGCGTCGTCCGCCGGCCCGAACGCAGCGGAACTCGTCGGCGTCCACTTTTGCGGAGACAGAGGGGGCGTAAGGCTCGGGAGGCGGAACGTCGGCGAGTCACCAGTGCCGGTCCCCCCGCGCGGACTGTCGAACGCAAAGCCGCCGAAGACGGCGGGCGACGACGGCGACGCCGTGCGCTCGGGGCTCCGCACGAGGAGTTTGGGGATGTAGCCAAGTGTTTGCTTGGCAATGAACCGCGTGAGCTGGTTGTGGTGGTTCAGGGGCGCGAGCGCTGGGGGGACGCCGGGCGCCGGCGAGTGCGGTAGGCGGCCGTCCAGCGCCGGCAGCGCCGACGTCGGGCGCGTCGTCGCGTCCGGCTGGTCGTCCGCCGTCGATGGCTCGTGGTCCGGTTCCCATTGGCGCCAGCTCTCGTGCACACTCGTCTTGTGCTTGAGGTTGTTGTTGTCGTCGTCCGTCATGTGGTCCGAGAGCGGCCCCATTCCGTTTTCTTGGCGCGCGCGCGTGTCGAACGTGATGGTGTTTGGTGGCGGGGCGACGTGCGGTCTCGACGCTGCCGAAGCGAAAGTGACGGACACCAGGCGAGCCGAACTGAGTTCGACGGCGTTTCACAGGCGACGCGAACGCGCGCGTGTCCTTTAGAGGGAAACGGTGAAACGCCGAGCGCGAGCGACGCGTGAGCTGGAAGGAAAATATGGAAGAGTGCTGGACGCCCGCCTGGCGTGGCCGCCGGCTCATCTGCTGCTGCGCCCGCGGGCGAGTCGCTCATTGCGAACGGAGACTATGGTATGGTACGGATCCATCGACCGACCGACCGACCAACAGACGGACGGACGAACGGGCTGTCAGCCAGCAGGGAGACAGGCCCGAGGGAGCGTCGACGGTAGTGGAGGTGGCCACCACCTGCCTGAACTTCAGGTGGAAGATCACCGTCGAAGTGCAGTCGACACTTCATCTCGGGGTCTGCCACGGCACTATTATTGGACCACGATGTGGACATCACGACCGTGTCGACGGACTGCGCTGCGTGTTGCGAGACACACACGCGCCTGTCGATTCGAGGGGATACCGCAACCATGGATGGCGTGCTTTTGCACTGATTTGCCGCAACCGTTCTCGGTGAAGCCTTTGCAGCAGTGTAGCCCCCGTGTGAAACGACCTTTGGACCATTGCGGGCATGTTAGGAACCTACGCTTGGGTAGAGCTTGTTCGAGGCAGTGGGCGAAACGTCGCCCATAGTTTTGCATACTGGAGTAGCGTTGGTAGTACGCGTGGTTCAGTTGACAGCGAAGGTTTGCTACAAACACATTCGGATGGCATCGACTTGGCCGTCAGAGTCACTGACTGACGACTGTCCAGGTATGTAACGACATCACGTAGTGATCGGTTAGAATGTTTTCTGTTCCTTCTCGAGGCCACTTGTATCACACTGACCTCTCTCAAATCATCAGGCTGGGTCTATGAAGACGACGAGTAGTCAGACGTGGTCGTGCTCCTGCTAACGAACCCATGTCGGTCGACACACGAACCGTGTGCGCGACGACACAACGGGACCTCAGCAGCGGCTAGCAACATGTTGCAGGTATCTCACGTGACGCCGAGAAACGTTTGAAATTGAAATGATTCATTGAAGCTTGCCTGCACCCGCACAGCCTTTCCGTGGGATGTTTGACCGCCGAGGTACACATACCAATCGTTGCTGGGCCCTCCCTCCCTCCATGCAAGACAATTGCTGAGCCACCTTGTCGAGTGGTGGTGGTGGTGGTGGTGTCAAGTACGTCCATTATTATGATAACTAACGACTGATAAGTGTGACAAGAAGTACGGCCCGGGTATCGGGTCGACAACTAAAGGGCTCCGTAGAGCCAGGGGCGACGGCAACGAGGTCAGAGACCCTCCTACCGAAGCCAACTACGAGTCAATCATGACCGCTGGCGCGACCAAGTAGACTGGGGACATGCGTACCGCCGGAGCGGCAGCACGTACAACGCGGGTATGCTGCCATATAAGGCAACAAACCCCTTTAGGACCGCTTGCGCGGCCCCCGACGTGGAGTGCGAACACCGAAGTGACTGCGTGGCGTGGAGAACGCCAACCCGCCATATATATCTCCGAGGAGCTCAACCATCTGCGATGGTGGCTCCCTTCAGCCGCTTGCGCGGCCCCCGACGTGGAGTGCGATCACCGAAGTGACTGCGTGGCGTGGAGAACGCCAACCCGCCGTATATCTCTCCGAGGAGCTCAACCATCTGCGATGGTGGCTCCCTTCAGCCGCTTGCGCGGCCCCCGACGTGGAGTGCGATCACCGAAGTGACTGCGTGGCGTGGAGAACGCCAACCCGCCATATATCTCTCCGAGGAGCTCAACCATCTGCGATGGTGGCTCCCTTCAGCCGCTTGCGCGGCCCCCGACGTGGAGTGCGATCACCGAAGTGACTGCGTGGCGTGGAGAACGCCAACCCGCCGTATATCTCTCCGAGGAGCTCAACCATCTGCGATGGTGGCTCCCTTCAGCCGCTTGCGCGGCCCCCGACGTGGAGTGCGATCACCGAAGTGACTGCGTGGCGTGGAGAACGCCAACCCGCCTATATCTCTCCGAGGAGCTCAACCATCTGCGATGGTGGCCCCCTTCAGCCGCTTGCGCGGCCCCCGACGTGGAGTGCGATCACCGAAGTGACTGCGTGGCGTGGAGAACGCCAACCCGCCGTATATCTCTCCGAGGAGCTCAACCATCTGCGATGGTGGCTCCCTTCAGCCGCTTGCGCGGCCCCCGACGTGGAGTGCGATCACCGAAGTGACTGCGTGGCGTGGAGAACGCCAACCCGCCATATATCTCTCCGAGGAGCTCAACCATCTGCGATGGTGGCTCCCTTCAGCCGCTTGCGCGGCCAGCCACCTTGTCGAGTGGGCGATTGTTGAAGTTCGGGTCAGCTCAAGCGTACGGCAGATAAAGCGGGGGCATCGAATCGCAACTGGACCTAGGAAGGGCGGTAGCGGTCCGATCCAGCGGCAGACGTCGCTAGCTGGTAGCTACGGTCGACCATTAGTAATACCGGAGCACAGTCAGCTAATCAATCGCATGCAGTACTTCAGACAAGGCACGATTTTTGAAAGGCAAAACGTCAAATCTCCTCGATAGAATCTGAAATGCTGACCACTTGGCTTGGAAACGTGACGCAATCGTGTGCACCTGCGTTCACAACCCAAATTTTCCACACCTTTCGTCGTTGTGGAAAATTTGGGCTGTAAACGCAAGTGACAGCTGATCACGGAGTCTTGTACCTCCTCCAGGCCACCGATCTCTTACTGAATAGTTTGTTGCGGTAAGTGAAACGCCCGGTCTCGCTGTAATGTGTAGCATGGTTTCTTTCGCCAAGTTCCACGCTCAAGCTATTGTGTAACGGGGTGAGCCCGTTACATAAAATTGATGCGAATGTATCATTTTTTAAGTATTATCTATGCAGATACTATTCAATCAACATCACTCGAGAAGAGGTAATGTTGGCGGAATGTTACCCCCGAGGGTAATATTCTTGGATGCTTCACTTTTTGTCGATGTAGATGCTACATCCCGAATTAACCACCAATCGCTGCTGGACGCGCGCAATGGGTGGTGAGCAAGAGACCCACATGGGAGATTGTAGTTTTATACAGTTGGATTAAGACAAAAATGGTTGATTAAAGAAACTTGACTATATTAAATACAGTTCCCCTTCTTCCCTAAAACAGAGCTTCCGAGTTCTGTTTAATTCTTCGCGCTTACTCACGCCACGTGTATGTGACGTCGGGAGTACGCAGCCTTGTGTTCAGTCAACGCAAGTTCTTACCAGTCATCTGGTAAGGGCGTGCCCCGTTACACCTGGTCGCACTTTGTAGTCCGTCCAGCGACCACAATCACCTCATTTGACATGAACATCTTGGATGAAGTGGAGAGCTTTCACTCCACGCGTGTAGGATTTACCCATTTGAGTGAAATTGAATGGAGCGCGGTAGGACGTATGAGTTCTACTGCAGACAAAACCGTCATTAGCGCCATGTTGGAGTCTCTCAACAGAGACCAACAACATGCCGCTATAGACAGGTTCATTCAAACTGAAATTGTCGCCGAAATAGAGAAAGCAGCCTTGATTCACCAGCAAGGCTCCCAACAGGCCGAGCGGCTGAGAGAACTCGGTGCTCAATCGACAGAGCTTATAAGAAATCGTCAATTAATGCTGCTGTAGGCGGGACGACACACACGCGTTGTCCCAAAATCTCGAAGAGCCATATCTCCAAGTACAGAAAAGTCGAGAAGACTCCCTGTTGTTATGATTCGTCGAACTGGACTGAGCAATAAAGTCACGTCGTATCAACGATGAGCAAATGAAACTTACATTTGCTCAAACCCACTTGGCGGGACATGTCGAGATTTAAGCCTTAGGGCTGGATATGAGCGAATCATATGCTTTTGTGTCGCTCGAAAGCTTTAAGACCCGGCTCAAGCAGACGTTTGAACCGCCACGGGCTGAGTTCAGAGCTCGATTAGAGCTACCAAAACTCAAGCAGGGTAAGCGTGATGTGCACGCTTACGATCAACATATAAGACTCCTCGCGAGTAGTATAACTGCTAACCCAGTACATGAACACACGTTGATTACTGTGTTCATGAAAGATCTCGCAGATGACCCCGTCAGCAACCACATGTTCCTCTTAGAGCTGGATACGTTTGAAAAATCAATCTCAGCTGCGGAACAGGAGGACTTAAGCATGATACAGTCTCATGCTAGCTCGAGCTCTTATCGTCCACCGGGACGACAAGAGACTGGAGGTCCAAAAACAATGGACCTCTATTATTTGAGATCGAGAGACCTCGCTCTTCAACCAACAAGCGATTGCAGAAGTGCAATCTCTGTCAGAAGTTAATACACTAAGCTTACTAGTGTAGCGCCCCACGCCCAGCACCAAACAGTACTGAGCGATGTGAAAAGCCATTTGCTATGAAGGGTAATGGGCGTAGGTACAACGCTGTTGAGAAACTGCAACAGCGAAGCGGACCATTAAAAATGGTCAAGGTCAGTAGGGGCGGAGTGCCTTACTGATCTAGCAACCTCAAGAGAATTTGCAAATCTCTTGACGAAAGTTGCTCCAGATACACAATCATTGTGTGTCTCTGCACCTGGTGATGACGTTTCGCTCATCACTTTGAAGTTGGAAGCGACAAATGATTTGTCGCTTCGTGCCCTAGTAGACTGTGGGGCGTCGAACAACTTTGTTCGACGCCAGTCACTAGAGGTTCGTAGGCTCAAGTTCGTTGAGCGCGACATTCCCCTCACAAGATGACGGTTCGCCTTGCAACAGGCTCATCGATTACTGTTGAGAAACGTGTAGTAGGAATCCACTACACGTTGGAGGGCGAGCAGTACGATGATGACTTCATCGTACTGGATCTGGATGACAAATTTGATGTCATCCTGGGATTACCTTGGCCCAGAAGGTACGAGCCA